TTTAAATTAAATTTTTTTTTTTAAACCATGAAAAGGAACCTAGAAAAAAAAAAAAAAAAGGAAAAAAAAAAAAAAAAAAAAAAAAAAAAAAAGGTTTGGATTTATTTAAATCTTATTATGGCATGTTAAAGATTTTTTTTTATTATTTTGTTCTCAATTCTCATTGAAAAATATTTATTGGGATTCAACCCTCTTTTAATATAGCTGACCAGCTTTTTGAATCTTCCCACTGACATTTTGACAATTTGTCTTTGGTGAAGAGCTCAACGTTTTTGAGGTTAGAAGGCCTCCTGGCCATCACCCTCATCTTTGACTCCTTCCGCAGATTCTCTGTCAGAATAAAGACACTAAAAGAACGATCAAACTACTTTACATCAGAAACATATTGGTAAAATTAAGACTACTTTAAACCCATTTCTGTCAGATGTATCAACAGTCTGATGGCGAGCAGATCACGCTAAAAACACAAGGTAACATATATAATAGCTACTGGCAAGTTTTAGTATCAGTGAGAAATTAAAAAATGAAGGGAAATAAAAACTTCTAGAAAGAAAATTATGTTCTTCTTTAGAGGTACGTCAGCTCTCCATGTCAGCAGATAACAGGAAGGTGATCGCATTAGAAAAACGTGTCCCATTCTATCCTTTTTTAAACACGGTTTCCCCCAGTGTATTATAAGCCTGGCGGGCCACCAGGTTTTACTTGTGCCCCCACCAGGGTTATAGCATTGCTTATTTATTTAAGTTTATTTTAAATATCAAGTGATATTTTCAAATGTCCTGTCAACTTTAAACATTTTTTAACTCTAAAACACGATAGGCCGCTGCATGAATGACTGCCTTAGTGCCCAACCACCGGGCTTTTTTGTTTTCTGGGGGAAAATCTTGTTTAGAGTATAATTCTGTCACTCATGAAAGTACAACCTTACCAAATGTTTTTAGTGTTTTGGTAATCTCACGGTTGAGGTAAAAAAACACCGGGACTGTAGTAAGTGATACTAATTGCTATAACGAGGCACTAAAGATGGCTTAAAAACTATACTTATCTAAAAAAAATTAAACACTTTAACTGCGGAGCTGTGTAACAGTGACTGCTCTCCCACACACACACACACAGTGTGACATCACCTCCAGTTCTTAAAGATCAGTAATGACTCCTACACTAAATGGATGACCACAAAGCAGCAAATCAGAGCTTTATTCCCATAAATACCAAGTTGGACACCTTTGTTTATTTTAAATAGAGCCTGAAGATTTATAGTGATGCAGAGAAAAGCAAGTTTGTAACTTTTGGGTTGTCAAACAATCTCAGAACAATTGTAATTTACAGCCATTAAAGAGAAATTAAAATAGTCCGAAAGTGGGGTTGGCAGGCGAGAGCTTTGCAACATTCGTGATCAAAATCCAACAGGTTCATCTCCAGCAGAAATCTAAGCGATGCAGAAGTTTATCTTGCTGTAAAACTGAACTCCCAACGCAAAGACAATTCTACAGAGACAGATATGTAGCAAACACTATCAGTTTTATCACCTCACAATAAAAGACCTACATTACAATAAAGTTCAAGTCCAGATCAAATGAATCACTCAATAATAAAGTAATAAAGTCACGTATGTGTCAGCATAGTCCGACATTTCTCTGGAGTCAAACATTGCTTTAGAGCAAAAACCGTCACAGCGGCAAAAGCAGACCTCAGTTCAGGTCTGGCTCTGTCAGAAAACACTCACACAAACACACTAAACCATTAATCCTGTTATGTCCTCTTACAAGAGCTCATAGCAACAAACAGACGCAACCACGAGAGCATCTGCTGATTTAGACACGCACAAGAATCCCTCCATCCGACAGAGGCACACGCAACGTGCTTCTCGTATTTCTTATTTTATAAGCTCACCTGCTACTTGACAAGAGTAAAACCATCTTCGAAAATAATCACATGACTTGGCTGCTCTTCAACATAATAATGGCAGATGGAATGATAAAAGGTACTGACCGTGACTTGGGCTCAGAGCCATGTTGCCAGAATTCAAGGAGTCATCAAAACGAGCAAATATCATCTGTAGCCTGGGGGGAAAAAAAGGAGACAAAAAGAAGGTTATAACAAAACGCAGTCGCATGAAAAAAATAAACTAATCGCTGAAGAGCATCGGTGAGTAAAATATGCAGACGGTCATCGTTGACCTAGAAACAAACAAAGGTGGCACGGATCAGAAGTGAGTATCATCAGCTCACAACATGTGGAGCTCCCGCTCATCCATCTTTCAATATATGTGTGGGTGTGTCTCACTCCGGGCGCCACAACTCTAGCATGATCAGAGTCTCCCCCCCCCCCAAAAAAAAAAAAAAAAACACACAACATGCTGCTCATTTCCAGACGCACAATCAGAACCGGACAAGAGAAACCTCGCCCATGCTTTACAAGATACAGAACAGAAGTGACTTGCAATGAGAAAACAAAGAAAATGAAGCATGTTCACTTACATCCATTACTGTGTCATTTCCACAAATTTAAATATGAATTCATTAAAGTCATCGCCCAGCCCCTCTACCTGCCTTTCTGCCCTTTGGCGTCTAGTTGCAGATCGGCGGCCACCAGATTGCAAAGCAGCTCCCGACGACAATAATTAGCCGTGCATCTGGCTCCTTGGCCGCGCAGCGTTTTCAAGCGGCTCTCTTCCTTGCAGAAGCATCTCGCTCGTCTGTTTGGTTAAATATATCCTTGCGTTTCGTCCTCAGCAGTCATTTGTCTTCGAATCTCTCTCCGGAGGACTGATTAATAGGCTGCCGTGCGACGCTGCGTTACCCCCACACATGCTAGTGACACGCTCTGGTCCTCCGCTCCCCTCGGCTCTTTGTATCCAACATGGTGCAGTGGCTCCGAGAGAGGGAGGGAGGCAAGGAGACGAAAAGAGGGAGAGGGGAGGGCGAAAGGGAGGGAGAGCCAAACGGCGAGAGACCGGAGCATGCCACAGACATGCGACAAAGCCCCACCTACCGCTGCGTGGACGCACACCGAGAAACGTCTTAAGATCCGAATCTCAAACACTTTAAAAATCTGTCTGTGCGACAGAGAGAGAGAGTCATGTGGGTCAGTCTGTGTGACGGGCAGCAAAAGAGATTCAGTTACCCTTTATATAACCTCCCTCCCGAACTCAGATACACTCGTTATCATCTGAGGGGGAAGGGGCTACATGGCCGACAGGAGACAGAACAACGCCGCTCCCCCCCCCCCCACCCCAATACAACATCTCTCCACTTTTCCCTCTCCAAGGGGAAAATGTGTACATCAAGGGCTGAACACTGAACTCCACCCGTATTCAGCCTAACTACGGGCTAATGGTAATCCCATGCTGTTCAGAGTCGAGTTACGACTGTTTGGTTCCAGTTCTACAAGAAAAACAAGAATTTGTGAACCATTACTTCACCGACTCCTAATCATATCTCCGTTTAACGAGTTTGGGTCGCGTCCGACTTGCTGTCTGCATGAAACGGTTTGACCTCAATCAGATTTCAACAGCTGTTTTCGTTCAGATACAGTAAAGCCTTCGCAGGATATTTACGTTGCCAGAAAGGTAATCACTGCTGATCCATCTTCGAGACGGTCAACAAACCCAAATAAAGTCAAGATAATATACCGTATTTTCCGCACTATATATAGTGGAGGAGAGCCTTCCGCGACTGGGCTGGGGCGTGGCTGGACGATGGTCACCCTTCTCCATTCGCGCACAGCATGTTCGTGGAGAACGTGGTGCTAAATGACCTGCAGACGACCTGATTCTAGACGGTCGGTAGGTAGATAGGTCAGTCAAACTTTATTAACAAACCAGCATTCTGACAACTATCCCAGCATGCACCGCGCGCTTCTTCTACGGGCGAAAATGAAGTCGGCGGCTGCTTACCGTAGTTGCTAGACCTGTTGTGGTTCAATATTGGTCCATATATAAGGCGTACCTGATTATAAGGCGCACTGTCGACTTATGAGGAAATTGAAGGTTTTTAGGTGCGCCTTATAGTGTGGAAAATACGGTAAGTGGTATGTTGGAAGGAGTCAGGTTAAACACGATTACTGTTGCAGGCCTGCTGACCTGCTGATTAAAGACATCCAATTATGTGGCACTAGGTCTTTCTGCAGACTTTCGGCGAGTCCAATTTATTCATAAAGCACATATAAAACACAAGTTTCTCCAAAATTTTGCACAAAAATAAGATAAGTAAGCATAAAACAGACATCTTTGATGTTTCAAAGGCTGCAGAGAAAAGATGTGCTTTTAGAAAGAGACCTAAAAAAAACACACAAAGTGAAGATACCTGTCTAACATTTAAAAGCAACTTGATCCAAAGTTTGGGAGCTGCAAGTGGAAAAATCCCGATCTCCTTTAAGTTTACGTTTAGTTGTCAACTAAAAGCAGCTAGCTGGGTGATCTAAGGACCCACGCAGGATCATAAGGCAGAGAACAGCAGTGTCAAAGTTAAGGTAATGATCTACATTCTCTACAGTATTCACATCCAGAGAACCCTTTTGGTAATGTTAATCAAACTCACCTCTAATATATGATGCTAAAGATAATTTGAAAACATCAACTCTGCAAGAATTTTGTTTTATTTTAGAATATTAGTCAACTGGTATCCAATGTTAGTTAGTTACTAACATACAACAAGAGTCACACAGTCACTCGTTAATTTATTATGCAAAAATAAAAGGCAATTTTGTGAGATTCATAGCATTTCTCCAGCCACTCTTTTGTCTTATTGAAAATGTTCTGCTTCTTTACTCCAGTGAGTTATATTCTATGTGGACAGAATTGCCAAAGTTGTTTTAAAGTTGACATTAAATAAGACAAAAATTGAACTTGAGAGAGTACGAAACGTGACGACTGAATTATAATTGTTTTTAGAGAGCAAAAGTAAACAAACTAAGATTGGAAGACGATATAGCATAGTATGCTAGCTCTGCAGAGATGAAATGTGATCCAGTCATGCATTCCAGCCATATGTGTGCTAATACTAACACACACATCGTCAGACACACAGAATTGTGTCAGATTTATTTCTGGGACCGAAAGAAGAAATGCAAATATGCTCAAACTTCCCTAAATTAATTTAAAGGTGTAAAACCCATATATCCTGGCAGTAGATTGCCAATGTTTTTAAATCAGTAGTTTTGAATTAATGTGCTTATTGTTACAGCATGGCCTTCCTCTGTATTTTAATAATCACAAAAAATGTAAACATGTGTAAGAAAAGAGGATTCTCTAACTGAACAAATTATTGCAAACGTCTGATTCCTACATTAGACCAAACACAAACAAACACGCCATCGCTGATAAACCCTACATACACAGACCGCGTGTTTACACAGGAGACAGACTGGCTTAATATGCACAACACATGACACATGGTCGCAGCCAAGCATTCACAGACACACGACTCATGCTGAGGAGTCAGCACACAGAGCTGACTGCTGCTCAGATCTCCCACATGGGAGAAAGACGGGATCGACGCTGCCCGCTGTTAAAGTTTCAAAAATAAAAACCAAAAAACCTTTCAAAACCTTTTGTTCAGATGATTGAACGCTGTAATTTTCACCCAACTCTGTTTCTCTCTCCCCAGCCCCTTTGTGCCCCGGCAGCCCCCTCCCACCCGTTCCCCTCAGTCAAACGGCATTGTGCTCCGAATGAAAGTGCTTCTGTGTGCAGTGCAGGACAGAGTGGTACATGGTGTGGCCTGGGACAGACCGAGTGCCAAAGCTCTGGGACCCTACAGACCCATCGCCGAAACACACACATACACACACACACACACACAAACCAGAAAACCTCCCATTAGTGAGTTCAGAACAAGAGATGAGAGCGAAAAAAAAAAAAAAAAAAAAAAAACCCCACCCAGCAGCTGGAAGTCCTCTCTTTCCCAGGTCTGCTCTGACTTTCTCTCCGACGTGACGATAAACATCCACTAGTGTTGTTATGGAAGCCTCTCGGACCTACAGAAGGCAGACATCACCACGTTAATAACACACACACACAAGCTGGGAGTTCACCTAGTATCTAAGGCAATTAGTCATGCAGTTTGTATCACTTTTATTCACTTCTTGACCTAATAAATATTACACAAAATGCTGTAAGCACTCATTAAAATCCAATCCCTACTGCACCTCCTCCGGGAGACACCCGATTTGCTAATTAAACTGAGAAGTGTTGTGATTGGGTAGCTGGGTTTTTGCTGAAGGAATTCACTGCAAGTGAGACGGAGACGGCTTGTCGAGGCTGTTGATTGGTCGAGGTGAAATGTGGGGTAGCTAATGATTGGGCACAATCATTCAGCAGAAGAAGCAGAGCTCAGCTTTCCAATCCCCCCTACCCCCCATCTGCACATTTACTCTCAAACCCTCGCTCTGAGCTGCTGTGGGTGTTTAACAACTAGATGTTAGCGCAATGAAGCTCAGTGGGAGGTGAGGGCGCACAGCTAAGCTCATCCTCTCAGTAATAACAGTAATAATCAGAGCGTCGTCTCAAGATGTCTGAGCCGAGAATTCAAGCGCAGCTGCAGAGTGATGCAACAAAAAGCAACACATTTTTAATAAAAAGTGTTGGAAACATTAAATGTAACAAATGATGCTAAACTCTCCATTTAGTTAGTGACATTAGCATTCTTGTGAATTCTCTGATGTCTGCTACTGTTAGTAAAGAGAAGGATGGACACAGAAAGAAGAGTTTTCACCTCTAGGCTTCTGAGTAAGGGATGCACGATACACCATTATTTTGCAACATCAGGGTGCACATTAACAATATCACAATGGACTGTATGAAAAGTGATATTTGTGCAGTTTTGTTTGCAATCTTAACGAATCACACATTGTGCATGCCATTAAGTGTTCGGCCGACTGGATGGCGTTTCACTTTATAACCCCACTTCTTAATCTTGTACAGTCCCACACTTCAGTATTTACTTTCTAGAAATGAATAAAAATAAAACAGTGGGTAACACTTTATTTGAAGGGGTGTCATGTTTATGACAGTTTCAGAAACATGACATAACACCTGTCATGAACATGAACAAGTCTTTATGAATGTTTATGACAGTTGTCATGAAGTGTCATTCGGTAAATAATGACACTTTTAATGCAAAGTTGCTCTAAAGGTTGCATTGAAAGTCCATTAAAAATGTCAACTTTGCATTAAATTATCATAATTTACAAAATCATGCAAAGTTTGCACTTTTAATGGACTTTCAATGCAACTTTTAGAGCAACATTGCATTAAAAATGTCATTATTTACCGAATGGTACTGTATGACAACTGTCATAAACATTCATAAAGACTTCTTTATGTTCATGACAGGTGTTATGTCATATTTATGACAGTGTCAAGTCAGTCGTATGCACACCCCTTCAAATAAAGTGTTACCAAACAGTGCTTTAAACTTATCAAACAAACAAAAGTCACTCCTACGCTCCTTTGGGAAAGCTAATTGCTAAGTGCTGAAGCATTTCCACTTAACATGCGTCACGTTCGCAGCTTGGGGTCACCCTCATCTAAAATTTCAGCAGACCTAGTATTTCACATATACTTCACATGTAACCCCAACTACAGCAGCTCTCAGCAGAACCGATTGCTGGTCATTTTTATCACTATGCTGTGGCACTAACATAAAAACAACAACAAAAAAAAAGCTAACGGTGCACTAAGGATTCTTGCAGTTTCTGGAACTGCGACTGATTTCAGATTACAGCTGGCAAACTCTCTTTCTTCTGAGTCACATCAATGATTCTTGCCACATAAATCTGTTTATGGCTGCCAACACTGAGACTGCGATGGACAAAAACTGTGCGAACGGAATCTGCTGCCAAAACAACAAGCTCAGCACGGTGAACACTTACACTAGTCGACTAACGAAGGAAAATATTTTCATTTGATGTCTTTTTTTTTGCCGTTTATCACTCATTTTAGATACATTAAGCAGACTTCTTTGTGTGTTATTATTTGTCATGAGCCGATGCAAACATGTAATAAAATTTGTTTACTTTGTTTATTACAATTTAGCTGATGCACAATGAGAGAGAGATATTTCTTTCACAAAAGTCAGGCACTGCACATTAATTTAGACTATGGATTTTAAAACATTTGAATTGTTGAGCAGCAACTCACATGGGATGACTAAAAGTAAAAAAAAAAAAAAAAGATGAATAAAATCTAAATCTTTATCTGACTGAACCTGGAATAGAATCCAAGATAATCTAATCTAAAATTATTTACTTTAAAGTCATTATGAATTAAACTGATTTTAAAGGACATATGACTGTTTAACAACTAATCTAAGTGATTTATGTATTTACACACCAGCCTGTTCCTGTCTCAACGTGTTTTTGCCCGCATAAATTAAGGAAACAAAAGCCGGAGCACAATTCAAACTAAACGATGCTGCTCGTCTCACCTGTGGGTTCTGATCTCCAGTCAGAGAGCAGAGATGTGGGACTAATTTGCTGAGGCTGAGAGGCTGGGCTCCGTACCTGAGAGAGGCGGACAAAAGAAGAAGACAAAGTAAATACAGAAACAGGAGTAAGCTGACTCGGCTTTACAATAAATAGCCCTAAGTACGCTTTGTTCTTTTAAAAATTTAAGTGGAAAACTAAAAAAAATAAAAAATGCTAAGACCAAGAGCTCTGTAAACGGTCATTTGTCTTATCGTTCCACTCAGTTTCAAAGCAGGAATGCCCAACATCTTCTGCATTACCATCAGGCGGCAGCTGAAGACTTCAACACAGAAATGCCACCGGCTATTAGCAAAAAGATGCTAAAATCAGCAGAAAAATTCAGATTAGTTTGTTGGCTGTGCCAACCTAAAGCAGGGACCCCCACTGTCCAACACGCTGCGACAAACGACGATATATTTATTATTATTCCTGTAAACACGTTTTGTACGATGACATTGTTGACCCTGCCGAGCCCCAGCTTACCGAGGCTAAAACGTCCCTGCAATTCTCGGCACCCAGCAGGAGAACAAATCTTCTTAGAATTACGGGAGGAAGTGAGATCAAACTAATTCATAAAAAAAACAAGTGTTCGTGTCTGAACTGTAACGTCGTGTAACCGAGGATCTGTGGGGTTTGCTTCGAGGCGGAAACAGTTAAGAGGATTAATCCTGGACACAGGGAACTTGTGTGTTTCTTGAACAAAGTGGGTCAAGAAAGGATGCAGAAACGGCACCGGTTGCCCCTTCTGGAGAAAGTTTAGCCAATTTCTCTGACTTTTCAGAACATAAAGTCATTCTATGTGTCAGGAACATGTTGAGGAAACAGAAGGTAAACTGATTTAAAACTCTATTTAAATGTCATCCTGATCTTGCGCTGAAAAAGAAGAAGTTACTCACGTGCCGAGTGTGGCGCTGAGGCAGAGGCAGATTCCTTCTCGGCTGCGGAAGTTTTTGTGTTTAAAGCTGGGAGTCAGCCTTTCCCACACGTTCTTGATAAGAAAAAATAAAACGTGGAGGAGGACGAGAGCACGAGGAAGAGAGGGAGAAAGGACGTCAGGAGGAACAAGAAAAAAAAACGGCCACGTTACAAACTTTGCTAAGCAGCGCGCGAAGCGCAGGGACGGTATTTGCATTTGCAAGAAATGTTTATGTGTCAACATAAAAGACAATGAGGATGCAGCAGCTGTAATTTTTTTATTACCCAGAGGAGGGAGCCAAAACAAACAGATTCTAGCACTGAGAGTAAAAAGCATGGATGTGATGCCTCTGTATGAAAGCATGTACTTTTGTAAAATAGAGAAAAATACAACACTTAACACAAATTGCTTGCAGCCAGATGTCTTTAAAGTTAACCAAAAAAATATGCGTAAGAAGATCCTAACTGGAATTTTTCTTGTTTTTAAAAAAAAAAAAAAATTATTGTAGTTTATACAACGTTTCCTCCAAGATGGCTTTACACACAGCTACACCTTTAATTTGAAGATGCATGCAGGATTTATCTGCTCATGTCAGCATGTGTCTCACCATGGGTGACGCGGTCTGCTCCATGAGGCGAAGGATGAGAGCTTGGCTGTTCTCCCTGACCTGATCCTTCCCGTCACCCAGCCGGTCCACCAGAGCTGGCAAGACTACAAACAGAGAAAATAAATAAATAAATAAAAAACATGAGGGAGGGAATGCCGATGAGAGACAAGATGGGAACAAATCTGCTCAAGATTAAATGCAAGAAAATCAAACCACATATGATGCTGAATTCAACAGTGTTTGCACATCGGAGGTAATAAAGACTGCCCCCAAGTGGAATGATTTCAAAAGACAATAACAAACAAAGATAAAAGGTTACATTTAGTAAAGTATGTGGGCTTTATCAGACTCAATAACTTGTAGAACATTTAACAGCACAATCACGAGGCTTTGAAAGGTCGTAAAGAACGAAAGAAAGAAAGGAAATGAGTAATGGACCGTGACTAAAATAACACCAAGGTCATCAAACGCTCACATGTCAGCAAGCTCTATGTAATCCAGTGAGATGATGAAGAACAGAAAGAGAGAGTCTTTAAATGCACAGCTGAAAAAATTAGGACCGTGTCAAGAATTTCACATTTTAAATATCATCTGAAGCAGCATATTGGAGAGTCAAAAAAATGACTTACGAAATCTAATAATCCTCAACAGTAATGTCTTCCCCCACACCCTCAACCTGCATCAGCAGTAAGGGCTAAAAAATAAAATAAACTTTCACTCTTGATGCTTCAAACCTGGACATAAACCCACATAACGCTGCCTTCGTTACAGTTCTACAGTAGATGTTATAAGACGATAAATATTTAAATGAAGTAGCGGTGCACCGATTGCAATTTTCCGGCCGATTAGCAATCTTTGAAAAAGGCTTAACCTGCCGATTCCGATTCTGGCCGACACCAATTTTTTTTTTGTGTCTGAAATGTTGCTCAATGTAGCAAGAAAGTTGTTTATTTGTCAACAGTGGGCTCACTATTGTTATTTGCAAACGTGCAGACATAACTTGGTGAGCCGGTTTGTCAGTCAAACCTTTCTCACCGGAGAACAAAAGAGAACAGTGGTCGATTCTTAGATCAATGCCAAGCTAGATAAGATCGGTGGACAAGATCGGCTTTGCATCGGCCGATCACCGATCTCCCAAAATGAAGGAAATCGGCACTGATAAATTGACTGGCCGATAAATCAGTGCTTCCCTAAAATAAAGTATCTTTATATTTCTAAAGCATTCAAATGTGACCAGAATCAGACAATATCTGTCCTTTTCCTGGTTAAGCGAACACACCCTTACTTAACGCTGTGTTCAGTTTGTCTCAGAGGTCAAAGCTCGGATCTGAGTAATTATGTCAGACATGCAGCTAGAGCGGGTTCTAGCTGCACGTCTGGATTATTTATGTTCTGGCGTAAATAATCCAGACACCATACACTAAATAATCCAAGCTGATGTCTTATTTCTCTCCATTCCATGCAAACAAACAGTAACGGGGCATAGTGACAGAGATTGTGCCTTAGAATGTCAGTCATTAACAGCAACACTCTTCTGTGTTTACTGAAAGTCACTTATTTCCATCATCAGTGAGGTGTTTACGGATGAAGTCACATGAAACCCAAATGGCGTAAAACTATTTAAAAAGACAAGCCTGCTGTTTACTGAGGCTGCAACTTAAACGAGGAGTAAAAATTCCAGAAATAAGCAAAAGGATGAGATTTAATTGGATGAGCTAGGTTTTGAAATCACAGAGTTAAGGTCAGAGTACAGATATTAAATGAAAGGCAGAGAGAATCTGAGCTACACAGTTATGGTAGCCATGCTAACCGCTAATATGAGATGCTATGGGCTGATTTTAGACCCAATCACTCTGCATTTTACTTAATTAATAACAGACCACTTTCAGAAAAAAAAGTAAAAAAAAAAAAAAAAAAAGATGCTTGTCAGACTCTTTATCAAAGATCCTAAAAAGAAAGTGACAACTGCTTCAAACTGGTATCAGCAAGTCAAAACTGAGATTGGAAATTGGCCATGAAAGTGGAATCAGTGCATATTTATGCTACACTGCTTTAACTGCTGTTTATAGTAAAAATATAGTTCTAGTTTTGACATCTGAAACAAATCTAGCACGTTTTTTTTAAAGTCCTATAATTAAAAACAGAATGTTCTAAATTTACATCAGATAAAAATAGAATATAAACTTCATAAAACTGTTGTTTTGCTACTTTATCTGGTTTGGTGCGACCCAATAATGACCTCTAACATTCATTCAATTAGAGACAATGTCAATAGACAGAGTGGCTCATGTACACACACACACACACACACACACACACACACACACACACACACACACACACACACACACCCTGAATGAGACATCAGCAGAGGGAGTGATGTAATCTGTCCTTTAACTCAGTGTGGTAGTTATGCTACCACAACAGCTGGTTGCCTCGGCAACAAGGACAATACCCTCAAACAAGGGGGTGGGGGGGTTGTTGGACACGTCACTCAGTGGAGTAAAAATGAAAACGTACACAAATGTCCCTTCAACAGCACAATCTCATTGAAAAGCGACAGAAATGCTGGCCAATCACAGCCCGGCTCACCCGTCAATCTGCACACACCGAAGCGTGATTAAATCAGAGTGCAGCACACAAAACGAGGTCTGCGTGTTTCACCTGGGCTCCCACTTAGGATAACTTGGCCGGATGGCGCGCAGCACTTTGTCAGAGTGCACGCACGCACACACGCTGTAAATTCAGCAGCGCTGTGCAATATGTCAGCCCTGTAAATCAATACAATCACTCAGTCTGAATGATCTCATCTTCCTCCTCCTTGTGTGCTGGTGGGCGGATGAAGAAAGGGAGCGTTGCAGGGGAAAGATGAAGTCACATTGAGGAGGGGATATTCCACAGTCGGCTTTGCAAAAAAAAAAAAAAAAAAAAAAAAAAAAAAAAAAAAAAAATTTTCAAACCAATCTGAAGCGCACAGTTTCATAATAATGGCAGCTTAGTTCAGCAGCGTCCTTGACCACGACTGGATTGAAAATATGTCTGGTGGTGAACTGCACAGTGTGCTGATGAGGCCAGTAATCCTGGAGTGGCACTGCAGGGTTCAGCATGTTTGCTGGTGACAAGATGCAGTCTGGCTTTGCAGTGACACACACACACACGCACACACACGGCGGGCGCTCACAGAACACACACATACACTCCCAATGAGTGTGAAATCTGATATAGGACTGAGCCGCTAAGGTCATTAACGCAAGGCGCGGTTATGGGGTGTAACAGGGTGACCCAAGTATAGAGAAGCATAAAGGATGAGGAATAGAAAAAGGGGGCGGAGCCAGGAAGCTAAAAAGTGGAAGCGAGAGACGAAACGAAAACACACACACACACACAGAGATGCTGAAAGGACAGTGACTATTTAACAAACTGCAACACTCATAAGCCAAGAAAACACTAAACTGAGCGCACAGGTTTGCTTTTGTCCGTTAATACAAACAAGACCTTGGTATGAAAACAAGAAGGCAAATTTATGCGCGACTAACTCTTTATGCCAGCGGATAAAGCGTTAGAGCCACAGGAAGAGAGAAAAGAAAGAGATCATTATAATCACTTTTACAAAAATCTGAATAAGAAGTTTGTGTTGGCTTAAAAAAAAAAAATGGGTTCAAACTGGTTTGTTGGTACATGTGCAACGAAGCTGCCGCTAAACTTGTTTTCACTTGTTTTGGGCGCTAAACGAAAACAAAGCCTGCCCAGCGGATCCGAGCTAACCTTTGGGTACGAGAAGAAAAGTAAGAGAAATCTTCTTACCTGTGCCAAGGTATCCTTTGAAGCGCTCTCCCAAGCGGTCCACGAATGCCCCGCAGATGTCTATTCCTAACAAAGCCACCTGCAAAAAGCACAGAGAGAAAGAAGAACAATGGTTATGATTGGCCGTTTCACCTCCATGTTCTCCACATCAAACCAACCGAACCGATTCATGTAAACCCACAGAAACTAAAACTGAAATTTAATTGTTCACACTGAATGAATTTAAATGTGCTCCTTCAGATAACTAACATATTACAGAAAAAATGAAATCTGGTTGAGTTTCCAAACGTACTGACCATAGATCAAAAGCTAGCAATGGATTTGGACAGATTAAGAACCTCAACTGACGTGCTAAAAGACAAAAAAAAAAAAAAAACACACAGAAAAGTAGCTCATTGTACAAATAATGTGAATGCAAATGCTGTTCACCACACTGTTATAAATAGTACCGTCACATTTTAGCAGGACCAAACGCGGCCCAGTCTCCGTCAGCCAGCGTTTACACCACTATTAGTTCATCAAATGGCAGAGCGCCAAATTTAACCCGCCTATCCAGCGTAGGACTGCGCAGAAGTCCGGGCTCCAAATCATCGCCCACACTTTCCAGAGTTCTTCCAGCCGATCCGAGGCGGACCCATCTTCCCTTTAGCAGCTTTAATATGCGGATCTTTAATCTCCCACTGAAAGATTTTTGCTTGCCAAAAAAAATCCCAATGCAGAGAGCAGCTGTTCTGGTGCAGCTCTGGAGAGCCGGGTTTGCCTCCCCCACGTGTGGTTCCAGATTTTGGAATAACTCCATATTAACACGGCCTGGACGACGACATCGACTTGGTAAGAAAGTGATCACTATGGACAGAAGAACAAAATCTGTTTGGTCCACAGAAACGTCACCCCTGTGTTTGTAAGTTTGCTCAGAAGATGTTTAAATCTCCTTGCATACTTGTCAGTATCTTCTATTTAAAGGTTAGTGCAAGAGGGCAGTAATTAATCCCACACAAAGAAAATAAAATGTAGCCAACTTTCTTAAAGTTCAAAATTCAGTTAAGACACTATTTAAATAACCCCCTGCAACATAAACATTAGCTTGTGACGACGCTAAAAATTTCGGTGGGCAGACGCATATTTGTGTCTGGAAGTGGAGTTTTTCCACTTTTCCTCTGATTAAGATCACATCCCGATGCTGCTGCGCTCCTGGAATGCTTTTGTTGGCAGCGCTCCGGCGAAACTGCAACAGCCAAAAAGAAAATCCATTTAAAGAATATTTGCCAAGACGGTCCAGCAATAAGATCAGAGCTGGCCCGCAGTTTTTCCCCTATTTTGGTCAAAGGAAGACTGAAGCCAGGTGACTGTGTTTTTAAAGAGTGAGGAAAAGACGGAGGACAAAACGACATAACAAAAAACAAACAGCAGCAAAACAAAAAAAGAAATAATCACCTGTGGAGGAAATGCAAGCCTTGGGTCAAACTGAACCCCGACTTATACCAACGTTATTCAGGGGGGAAAAAAAGGGGGGGAAAGCAACATGATTCATGATGGAAACATCCCTCAGGCTCCTTCTGCCCCTCCTCCACCCGACACCCCAACAAGCACCCACAACCATCTGGTATCATCTTCACATGGAGGAACGGAGGAGAAGAAATGGAAAAGGGCTACGCTTGTTATCAACCCTGACATTAGAGTACCGAGGGAATAGGAGGGATGCGGAAGTGCTTTGCCAAAGTATTCATCTCTCTGCAATTTTTTTTTACACATTTTAAGTTACGACCACCAATTTTAATGTATGCTACAGAGATTTTTTTTTATTTTTTTAGAAAACAGACCAACTTAATGGCAAGTAAGTAGTTAAGTAAGGAGCCAAGTGCGTGAAGTCTTTTTACAAATAGTCATCGCGAAAGACTGGTGAAGGCCTGTCGCAGAAATTATTGCAATAAATTATAACATCGTTGTAAAATAATAAAATAATGGCATAATAATGCATGTTTGCCCTCTCAACGACTGATTAACTTTGTACAGAGCACACGACGCTGGAAAAGGGAAGGCATTAAAACAAAACAACTGAAAAAATACGTGAAAACAAAACACAACCTAAGCCACGAATAAAACGGATTTTGCCTCTGTAAACGAAACTGGCCTTCAAAAAACATATTAACCAGAAAGGAGATTATCAAGCTTATTTTAATTTGCCATGTGATTAATTGACATAGCATCTGAACAAAAGAAAACAGGTTCACGCCACATCACTATGTAGATGTGGTAGAAATAAAAAGAGGAACTACGAAAACTAGTCTTTCCTATTGCATTTCTATTTAAAAACTGTGCATATATATTTGTGTACATAAATAGATGTGCACATTTATGGAATAGTAGTACGAAGTAACTGTTCAAGGACGCCATAACAACAACAAAAAAAGTTATATGGTCCTAAACTAACACTGTAAACACATCAAATCCTCAGTAAAGCACAGCAGTGGCAGCATAATGGTTTGGGGTTAATACTGCAGCAATGGGAACAGCTCAGAGAATTTTTTTTTTTTTTTTAAATCTCCAAAATATGTGACGTTTGTTGCCAAAACCCGACAAGCTGAAAAGGTTTACAGGTAGTATAGGTGACAGGAGCAAAAAAAAAAAAAAAAAAAGTTTTATCTACAAAACTGCAAAATTAAAACTGAATATTGTTTTAATATTGTTTTAAGAAATGAAAAGGGTCTCGCCAACACATGATACCTTCCAGACTCTTAACCAGGGAGCTGGAGGAATGTGAGACATTAAGACACTGCGCATAGTCAGCTCTATATGAAAGGCTCTTTGTAAAGGCTCGGGTTCGTAGGTGTGGTGGCTTACCCAGCTAATTCGTATACCATGTAAATGGTGTACAGAGAGCCTTAAATTGATTTTGAGATAAAAAAAAGAAAAAAGAAAAAAAGAGTTCTAATACGTAAAGATGTCCGTTTAGTTAGTCTTCAAACAGGACATTTAACTCCTGCTAAAGCTGAAGAAATATTCCACTCTTAGTGGGAGGGAAAAAGCAGATCATCAAATCATTCCAACTTCCACTTATTCTCACTAAATGAAATTATAACCGAATCCTCCTCATTGGACAAAACTGCAGATGAGAGTGCCGTTTGTTCCGAATCCACAGAAAAAAACATTCATTTTGATCTAGATGCAATAAGCACCTGTAGCTTTACTTCTAATCGCCAATACACAGCAGAGAAATTTAATAACAATAAAAAAAATAAAAAAAATTGGAACCATTGTCTGAACCCACCAACCAATAATGACTGTGTCACAACAGTTCCTGCAGCTGCTTCCCACAAAGCTGCATTGAATTCTCTGCTCTGGGAGGTTTTTTTTTTTTTTTTTTTTTTTTTTCCTATTAAGCACCTGCAGGAAGAGCTAGCCTTGCAGAGCAGAAGGCTAAGCGCCAACATTTGACATGGCTTGAGTGGAAGATATTCTTTTTTTAGATACTATCTCACTGTGAGATTTCCAGGTTTTTGAAAACAATGAAAAAAAACAACAAAAAAAAACATTTTTTTTTGGCGGAACATTTTTAAATGAAGGACTTGCCTATTAAAATATTCGGCTGTTTGGGTCCATCTGTTTCCTATTAAAGCGGCGAATGCGCTCCAGGAGCGGCGTCGCTGCGTTATTGGGGTTCTCTGACAAACAAGGCATGACTGTTTAAGTAGAAACACACAAATCACGACATCCGGGGCTTTTACTGTCTGGTAACCTAATCTGTCCCCGATCACTGCCAGAAGTGTTCAGTCATCTTAACTTGAACTGCACATATGCAGCGTCGTGCATTATTAATGCTTCCTGTTCGCAATTTTCCAGATACAGCCACTTATGATGATGATGATGATGAGATCAGGGTTTATGAAGTGAATCTGCTGTTCGGCAGAGAAGAAGAATACAAAGAACGCCAACCCAAGGAACAGTTTTCGCTTTAATTCCTTACAGGTGCTCGAGCGGAAAAGCTTCACTTTGAACACACTCAAACATGTCTGTGGGTCATGACTTGCACTTTTCATTTATTAATTTTTTTTTACTGTAATTTTGCAGTTTTTGCTCTGCATTAAATGCCTTCTCTGCCCCCCCCCCCCTCTTTCCCTCACATCAACTTTGTTTTTCCTGCATCACGTCTCCTCTAGTTCGCCGTCACCTTGCTGACTCAGTGGCTTCTCGAAACTCCTCCAGCTTTTCTGTTCGACAGTGACAGAAAAGATAAAAGCCTGTTGGTAAGACGACCTTTCCGGGGTCACGCAAACCCTACCCATTAGCAACACATGTCAATATAAAAACAGCCAGAATAAAGGAAAATGCTAGCTTGTGCGCTGGATGCTGTACACAAAGCAGAAACATCACACTGCAGCACATCAAGAAGCAACGCTCGTGTAAATTTACGTGACGATTCTGCAACGTCTTTAGTTAATCGTTGCTTTTTATCTACTTTGATCTATGTTATGATGCCGAGGCTCTACTTTTATTGTTTTACAGTACTTTGGCCAACACCTATTGGTTTTAAATATGTTCATAAATACATTCCACTTCCTTTTCAAAGACTAATATGAAATTTTGCATACAAAAATGTAATTAAATGCATCAAAACATGAATGCACACTTGCATAAATGCATGGGTACCGACATAAATTCAGCATTATTTGACCATTGAGATTCACACAGACTAGCAGTGACAACCTGATGCAAGTCAAGGCAGATGAAATGTGCTTTACGGAGGCTTTGTTATGCTGAACGCACCATCACCGGGTTCACATCTGGCTGAGTAACACATCTATTAACTCCAAATGCAACTTGCGAATCAAATTTCAGTCTAACTACAACAAACGCTTTGAGCTGCTTTGAACAGCATGCGGAGAAAAGTGCAAAAATATTGCTCTTCTGTTTTTTTTCTGGAATCAAAGTACTGCTGAGAGTACATTCAGGCACACAAAGGAAAAAGTAAGAAATGGTTGGGGGGGGGAGAAACAAAAGACACCCGAATAAACTGAGGTTACAGGAGAGGAAAAAAAAGGGACAAAAATTAAAGGTCATAACAATGAGCCTCCTAACCCCTCCCCCATCTCATCTATAATTCCCCCTGTAGTCCACAGTCCTGACAAAGAGTCTGAATCGCAGACACAGACAGGCTCAACCAAAAAACGATAATAGAAAGCCTAAGAAACCACAGGAATGCGCAGGAAAAGTACCCAGTCAGTGGGAAATTTAAAAATGTCTGCCTCCAACGTAGCAGGATTAGACTGCTGGCTTGCCACAGACAAAAGCTCTCTGCTTCTCACTCATTTCTGGGAGCACATTCACATTAAAGGTGCCTGTAAAGCTTTAATGGTTTTACATATTTGTAGTCTGAATCATAATTAGCTAATAAATATGTTCATTTTCATGTCAGTCAGTCAGTTCTGTTTTAGATTCAGTGAAACCAGCCTCTTTGTACAACGAGGCATTTACCCGTCCACTGTTTTTACGCTCAGAAGGCAAATTAGTTGAAAATAATACACAAAGAGGCCAACGGGATGCTCGTCCAGCACCACGACACCCTCACACGATGACTGGGCTTTTTTTTTTTTTTTTTTTGTCCCCCTCCCGTACCTTGAAATTGCTGGAGTTGATCCATCCCGTTAACTCGTCTATGGTCTTATCAAGCCGAGGCTTGTCCTGCTCCACGTCCGGGGAGCGATCTGGGTCGTTCAGGTAGTCTATGAGGTCCTGGCCGACCTGCAGTCTGCGTGTAACGTCCTTCTGCAGTACCTGCTGGTAAAAATACTCCATGTTGTCATGATCCTCCATTGGGGACCCAGTGCCGAGCGGCCAGCTAGTGAAGCCGGGCCAAAGATCGAAGACAACGGTCCAGTCGACGGGGTGTAGAGAGGCTGAAATGCGAACTGTAGTCCAGTCCAGGAGCAAGGGAGGAGTGCAGTCCAGATAGTTTTCGACTCAAGTTTGATCATCAATGTCTGTTCGATTAAAAATACTGATTACTTTGGTACACACATCATCCCCCAAAATAAACCAAAAAACTCCACCTGATACGTTGCCTTAAAGTTGCTGTTGTTTTTTTTCTTGTTAAATACTTTCCTCAAAAAAAGACCTCAAAACTCAGCGAAACTTAATTCTCCACTGAACCACGCTAAGGTTTCTCTGTACATGAGCATAACGACACGCCAAAAGTCGTTATTTACTATCTGTTATGCTAACAAAAATAGCACTTGGCTAGTTAGCGCCCATACAAATAGCTTCACGTAGGCTAACTCAGCCTGCTAACGGCCTATCGCCGGACTCCGCTCTATTCTCCTACTTCATGGCCACGGGCGCAAAAGTCTGTAAGGTTGCGATCCGGTCTGCGGGGAAGTTGTACCAAACTTCCGCAACTGAAATAATAAATCCACTCCTGTGTTAACCGATCCCGTTTTAGTCCAGAAGTATAGCAATCGTTGCTTGAAGTGAACCCGCTCAGAGCTGCTGGGAGGCTGCGCGTTGCCGGGGACTGCAGTTAACCAGGGGGTGCGACCACCAATCCTTGATCACCGCACAGCTAGCCAACACGATGCCTGATGTAAAATAACAACAAAAAGGACTCCGACTGACTACTTACTTAATTTTATTTACAGAATAAAGGTAATAATAATTTTAAAAACAGGTATGATTTTTTTTAAAGAAATTATTCGGGATAATTTTTTTCCCAAATTCAGAAATTATACCTTATTTATGTGGGCGTGTCTTCTCTCAGCATGGCCCTTTGGTGACATCTAGATGCCGATCTGCCGCAGTTTTCTTCAGAACGGCCCCTCAGATGTAGAGATAAATTTCAGAGAACTTACCGAAGTTTTGGCAAAAATACATTATTTTTTCTTAACTCAGATTGTCACCACTTAAGTTTTTTTTTAAGCCACTTTAAATAAAAATACATAACTTTACCATAAAGACTTTCATAGAGGAGATGTGTATACAGTGAAACATTTCCAGAATTAAAATCGGTATGGATTCTGGAAATAAATATTTTCCATGCACAATATTTTTACTTGAATTAGAAATTCTGAAAACAAATTCTACAATTTTCCAGATTGTGGAGGAACGCTGGTTTCATTAAAGAGACAGGAACAGTTTACTATTAGTCATCTTTATTTGTTCATTTGTCTATTTTTTCATGTATTTCTTTATTTTTCTTAAACATAAAACTGTTAAAACTGTCAGAGGACATTAGTATAACAACCAGTCATGCCAGCTATGTATCCATCTAAATCTTAATCTTCCTTTTTCTTAATCTTTGATCCTTCCCACTGCCCTGCCTCTCTCCAAAGCCTTTAAGCACTTGGCACTAGACAGCATTTACCAGTTTTTAGTGTAGCATTATCTCACAGGCTGGTTTCATTTAGTTGGAAACATTTTAAGGGGCTCTATTTCCATCATGGCAAGACAAAGGTGAGATCCTGTTGATCTTAAGGCATACTAAGCAAATTAAACCAGCAATTTTAGGACTTTCCAGAAATCACATTTAACTTTGCTAGGTTTTGCATCTTCTGTAGTGACAACAGGAACTCTGTGTTAAATCTAATAAATTATTCTGGCAAATTTCCTCAGAAGTATAGGATTCCATTCTTAATAAATATTAATGCACTGCTTAGCAACTGTAAACAGCTGAAATGGAAAGATAAAAGCCAATTTATAACATCTTACAACAAAGGTAAAGTGACAGTTACATAGAACTATACTAGAGAGACTTTCAAATAAATAAATTTATGTGATTGTCAAAAAACTTGAGGTGCCTTTGCTCAGTCTCGAAGCCAATCCTTTAGCTCTCTTCGATTTCAGTTTTGAAGCAGTTCCACCTACCAAAGCCCTGATTGATATCCAGATACACACAGCAATAAATCTGAATACTGGACGTCACAGTCCCCTTAACTGTGTGCCACAGTCACATATGTGTAATAAACTACTCAGACTCACTCTGATCAGTAATGGGGACTGGAAACCTTCCGATGTAAACAGGTTAGCCTCTGCTGCTAACCTTAATCTGAAATGTAAACAAATGCTTCAGTGTCAAGTAGGAGATAGTTCACAGGGCTAACTGACAGGATTGGACCAGGGCCTACAAGCCAGCAGAACCACACAGGTCACAACTGAGGTCACTCTTTCCAGAAGCAGTGTAATAAAACGCTTTTTGACCCTCAGGGTCTTGTCATAAGTCCTTCTTGTTAAACAGCAACAGTTTTTACATTAAATAGACAAGCATATGTCTCTTTCTGAATAGACAGCCATGGACACTTACAATAAGCACTGGAAAACAAAAAAAAAAGGAGTTGCAGTTGTTTGGCCTTTTCCCCAGTTTTTGAGTGAGTTGCTGTGAAGCTCTTTTTTTGTGTGTGTGTTGCAAAACATTCTCTGTACAAACAAAATCAAAATCTGAACAAAAAGTTTCCCAGATGCACAAATAGGTCACATGTCCTGTTTTGTTGTACTTCCTGTTCGTCCCAAGTGTTCCACACTTCAGACTCGAGCTCGCTGTGACAGTACTTGCACAAGATCTGCATTTCAGCCACATCCCGGCTCTCGTCTCTCACAGAGCTGCAAGTCTGTTAGCTGAAGCAAAAAAGAATCACAGGATGGTCACGTAAAGGTAACGTGTGATCGGCCGAGATGATACTCTGGAGTTTGTAGCTTGTCCAGGATGGAGAGAACACCTCTTCTCTTTTTTTTTTTTCGTGTTTGAAAATGATGCATTTTGTTTTTTGATGTTCCACTGCAGTCTCTTGCACCGAAAGGTTGGATATCCGCGGTGCGTGATTCATTATGAAGCGGAGAACCTGTTTTTGTCTTTGGAGGATGAAGGAGAGAACAAGACAGAAATAAAGAAAGTCCATCCAATCATATCTCTTTCCTTCAACCTCTCCAAACCCCCCCGCCTCCCGTGCTGCTGCAGTGCCGACTGGTGAGCAGGAAGAGAGAGGAGGGGCGGTTTAAACCGATCAGGGATCAGTGGAGATCAGTCCATGTATTGATCTATGATCAGGAGCAGTGAGTGGGTCCAGCCCCTCCCCTCTCCTTCACCGCCTACCCTAGCCCCCCTCCCCCCAGTCCCTCCCTCCCACCCACCCACAACCCATTCGGAGCCCATATCAAAGCAGCAGGACCTGTAGACAGAGGTGCCCCCCTCTGGCTCTCCATTGTCAGAGGATGATGCAGCAACGGCACAGACGCTGGCCCCCTCCATGCACAGAGGGGGGAGGCGTTACTGGGGCAAAGTATGCGTGCACTTTGATATCCGGAAGCTGGGCCTGTGCAATAAAGAAATACATTTATTAGTTTGGTCACAAGTTTAAATCTACTTGTCATCAGCATAAATGTAATTTATTTGGAGCTTTTATTGTTGTATGTTGTCAGGTATGAACTTGGTAAGAGAAAATTAGCCCAATAGCAGTGGGAGTGCAAGTATGCATTTCATTCTGCATGTATACATTTTGACTTTGCGTGGAAGAAAATATCCATAACAGATTAAAATCTTGCAATGACAGACATGCCCATGATAACCAGTCTGAACGGTATTAGCAGAAAGAAGGAGCTTTACATAAGCTCACCTCTTATAATACCAACATGTTTTTACAGTGCTTTCTGTAATATTTCTACTGAGCAAGAACGATAATTAACACAGGATGAGACTTGGTTGCATAGACAAAACACCCAGAAAGGACATTAACTGAATGATGTTGAAACTTGTTTATCTTCTGAAGGAACTGTCAGGCCTAACGCCCATGTTTAGATTAAGTAAAATCTTCATGCAACAATATAGACCCATCAGTAAGTTAGCTGAAATGTTGACACATGTTAATAATTACCCCACTAAATTCAGATCTACAATTATGTTCATTCAGTTTGTCGAACTAAAGAAATTTGATTTGCCAGTTGAAATTCATGCAGTTTGCCATATTTACTTTTGTAAAAATGTTGCACTTTGTTGACTTTGAAAAACTATTTTCTGCTCAAAATTAGAAGCCATGTAAAAATCCTTCTCACCTAGAAAACAATGTTGAAAACAAACCAAGATTAATCTAATCAAAATCCCTAAAGTGTAAATAAACCGCACCCTTTTCACAATAAGAAAAGCAAAAAAAAACAAAAAAAAAAACATGCAAATGAACATCTCTTCGCTTGTGCCGCTCACCCTGATGCGCTTGATGCCAGCCCTGGTGACTTGCTGGCAGTCGTAGAGTTCGATCCGTTCCAGACGGTGGCAGCTCTTGAGGTGCTCCAGGGTCACGTCAGTGATGAGGGGACAGTTGTCCAGCTCCACCACCGTGAGGCGCTCCTGACCACAGGTGCTGTTGCTGAGAGCTCTGATGCCATCATCGGTGATCAGCTCACAGTGGGACAGGGACTGCCGGGGGGTGAGGAGGGCATGAGAGAACGGACGAAGACACGTTGATGCACAGCCAGGCTGAGAGGGTTCTGGCACAAATTCAGACAGTGCAGGTCTAAATGTTTACCAACGCTTGCAGCCGTGGGCAGTGGATCGACAGCTGAACCAAGGTGTTATCGGTCACCTGGGGGGGAGGACGAGCTTGATTAGAAAATGTCTTCACATGTCTCCACACAGCTTAGAGGCTGACATCTCAATGTGGAGTGATGCGCTGCATGATAATGTGTTGCAGCGAGTCTCTCTCTGTCCTGCTCGCTGCATTTAATAGTGATTCAAAGGGTATGCAACAAGAAAAAAAAAACGTTTATCCACATAGTCATACTGCTCCAGCCTGCTACAGTCTAACCTCTTCACAGAAGTAGGGGGTGAGCGAGAAAGGCCTTGAATTTTGACACAACATTTTGAGGAAGTATTTTGATAATGAAGAAGCCTAATTTAAATAGGCTTCTTCAGGACACCAGTTACTGAAAGAAGTGATATTTGTATCACTAAGTTGCACACAGCTGCATATTTATTGATGCTCTTGTGGAATGAGAGGATTAATGTATCAACAGCGGAGAAAATTATGAAAAAAAAAATAATATTTTTGTTCTGTGTTTTTATTCAACATCATTACATAAAACTTGTCAAGACAACAATAAATCAAAAATTCTTATGATGATAGAAAATTTTTCACGATAAATGATGAGCGATACGTTAAATGCCACATATTCACTTACCAGAATACATTCTTCTAAGTCCATTTTTTCAAGCTCATGACAGTTCTGTGGGGGAAAAAATGGATGGGTTGTTCAATTTAGAAATAGTAAGTGAAATAGATGGTTAGCTCAAGACCCTTCGCATTGATGTAAGACCCCGCCCCGGCGTCAACAATCAGCTGGAATGTGGATGACAGTTACTTATGGATGCAAAATGTATACATTATACTGTCAAGAAAAGGTTCAGGCAATGTTTTTAGCTATGAAGACAAAGTATGAGGAGGAAAAGTCATGAGCAGCAGACTCACAATAGTCCCATTGCAACTCATAAAAAAAAAAAAAAGAAAAACAGCTTGAGAGCGTTTGTGTGATCAGATCCGTG